AATCCTCAAAGGTCACAGTCCCCCCTAACACGACTAGGCTACTAATAGACAGTCCAATATTCCGGCTCCTAAGCGACTTATTGGACAAATCCCCGTTTGACCATAATACCCATTTTGTTATGAAATCTGCAATTTTTTTGGCTTTCTACGGGTTCCTCAGATCTAGAGAGTTCACCGTGATACGACAAGGAGACACAGTAAGATGCCTCAAACCTTCTCACTTAAAGAGAGTAGACGACCATTTTGTACTCTCTTTGCTTTCTACCAAGACCAATCACTCTGCCTATTATTTCCCTGTTCCCTACTGAGAATTTGTGGTGCCCTGTACATGTTCTGGATATGCTCTTGGTTTCTCACCTCACGCACTCACCAGATATTCCACTACTTCTACTCCAAGGTCACCCACTCACCACAGCTAAATTTATGTCACACATCATAATTCTATTGTCGAGGTTAGGCTACAACCCAGCTTCCTTCTCTGGTCATTCATTTTGCATCTGCGCAGCATCATCAGTCTCTAGCACTAACACCCCGGTACACATCATTAAGAAGCTGGGACGCTGGAAATCCTCAATATACAACTCCTACATCCCTCGACCAGAAAGGGAGCTCAGGCAGGCTTTCAGAAATCTAGCAGTTTAAACTTGCAATAAAGTGTGTTTACTTTGAATTCCTTTTTGCCCTCTTTTTTACAGGCCTACTCGTACGTTGGTTTCGGCACACCTCAACGAACTTTGCTCCTCCTCTACATTCCATTAACATAAAAGAGATTCCGAGCACAAGTTGGAAGGCCAATTGGCCTGAATTTGTGGGAGGAGTTATGACCCTATATAAACCCTACCCCCCTACTTACCTTTGCCATTCAAGCTGTTTTGACCCCACCCACCTTCGCCCTCATTTACACATTTCTCTTTGTGGGCCCTCTTTTTTACAGGCCTACTCATACGTTGGTTTCCGCACACCTCAACCAACTTTGCTCCTCCTCTACATTCCATCAACATAATAGAGATTCTGAGCACAAATATATATATATATATTGTGACGAGACCAATCTCGCCACATTGCATTGGAGAAGCCTGGTTGCTCGCCTGCTGCCTTTGGACTATGGCCCCCTTTTAAAAGACTTTATTTTTGCATACAGAAAAGCTGTATTCGTGCTTTTCTGCCGGTTGTTCGGTAGTTTCAATCTACCGAACAACCGTACGAATGACTGGACCACCTGGGAGCTGGAGTGTGCCGGCAATTAACCTCCCTGAAGCTGCGGTTAACCGCAGCTTAATTGATGAACGCTGGGTGGCCGCCGTTCGTATCCCGAACACGAGGTCGCGGCCATTTTAAACCATACGAATGAACAGCGGTGTTCGCCTCTATTTCCATGGAACTAAAATCGGACACAGTTTTGCGCGAACACCGCTGAAGCCGCCGACCTCCCTTCTTGTTCGGTGAAAGTGCACGAATGGCCCGGTGTTCGGTATTTTTGTTTGAATGTCTTATACCCCAGATAGGAATCCCATGGAGCCCATTCGTATGAAACTGACTGTAAAGACTTTGGCTCCATGGCGATTAAACTGTATTCGTGTGGTCTGAGTGCCATTCACCTAATAATGTGCACTCAGACCTGAGCTATCTGGGGATATGTTACATGTCTGTGTTTTATGTAGTAAATGTTACTTTGTGCATTTTAAAGTATAATGCTGGTTTTGTGTCCCCACGTGTGTAATGGAGTTTGCCTTTGTCTTGGGAGATAATTGAGTTACTTCCCAATTATCTCCCAGGGCAGAGGGGAGGAAGCCAGGATGCATTGTGGGAATATACTGTGACTGTGTGTCCTATTTGTATACTTGTCTGTCCCTTGTCACAGTCTCCCATTTGGTCCCCTAGGGGAGTGTCCACCAGGTGGGAGACCTGCATAAATACTGGGCAGGTAGCCCCCATTAAACAGACCACTGCTTGACCCTCAACACGGAGCCTTGTCTCGTCTTTGGGGGGATTTACTGTATGCTGCTAAGGACTGATTGCCAGGAGTGTAAGCCGCTTGGGAGCTTTTCCTGTTCGTCTGCTAGCAGCTATTCGTATGGTTCCTGTTCGTTTATTTGGAGTGCTACCTTATTCCCTTGTATGCCGTTCGGGAGTTTGGAGCATTCACTTATTGGCGGTTCGTGAGTTTTGGTGATTATACAGTAGCTGTGCCTGACTCTGAAAGGGGGATTATCGTCTAAGCGGTTTTTTTCCCCTTTTGTGCAAAACGGTCCGTTACATATATATATATATATAAAATCAATGAATGAAGAGAGCACTCACTGGATTTTCAAAAGGTGTATTGGTGATGTTTCAACCCAGAAGGTCTTTATCAAGATATATATATATATATAGTTGTAATCAAAATTGTTCAACCACCAAAAAGTCAGGTTTATTGTCAAAATCCAAATTTACAGACTTTCATCTGTTTGCAATGAGCAAACGAGCAAATCAAACAAAAGCAATTAAAATAGCACAACAAATGCTTTAAGTGGTTTCCTCAAATTCAACTGAAAATGCAACTTATAATGACTTCTCCAGTCTCAAAACTATTCAGCCACCTGGAGGCATCAGTTCCCATAGATGTGGTCACCAAATTTCATTATTATACAGCTAAAGAGAAAGTTATACAAGCTTCAAGATGCGCACCGCCTCTCCCTGACGTTTCTCTGATATACAGCTGTAAACGGACCTGTCAGCAATAGAGTTGGGCGAACCCAAACTGTAAAGTTCGGGTTCGTACTGAACATTACGGTTTTTGGACCCCGGACCTGAACACGGACATATCAATGAATGTTCAGGTTGGAGTTCGGTGTTCGGCGATTTAATGCTGTGTTTTCAAAGGCTGCAGGGCAGCCAATCAACTCGTGTGCCCTAAGAACACAGCGTTTGACTTGTGTGCCCTTAGAAGCCATCACAGCCATGCCTACTAATGGCATGGCTGTGATTGGCCAGTGCAGCATGTGACCCAGCCTCGCACATGAGGTCTAATTAGTGTAGGGAGAGGATGCTGCCGCTTTCAGAGACAGATAAGAATTCTGCAAACTAGTACATTAGTGGGGTGCACTTCATATCTGAAAGTCAAATAGAAGCTTCAAATACCGAGGTTACATTGGAGTTTTAAAAATTCTATTTATTTTGGTGCTAAATAGTACATTAGTGGGGTACAATTCATATCTGAGAGTCAAATAGAATCGTCAAATACTGCTGTCACATTGCAGTTTTAAAACTTAAAAATTTTTGGGTGCTAAGAAGTACATTAGTGGGGTGCACTTCATATCTGAGAGTCAAATAGAAGCGTCTAATAGTGTGCTTACAGCACAGTTGTAAAAATTCTTATTGTTTTGCTGCTAATCTGCTAAATAGTACATTTGCGGCCTGCGGAGCACTTTATATGTGAGAGTCAAATAGAAGCGTCTAATAGTGTGCTTACTGCGCAGTTGTAAACATTCTAATTGTTTTGCTGCTAATCTGCTGCTTACATTGGAGTTTTAAAAGGTCATTTTTTTTCTTTTTGATACTAAATAGTATATTTGGGGTGTGCACGTCATATCTGAGAGTTAAATAGAAGCGTCTAATAGTGTGCTTACAGCGCAGTGGTAAACATTCTTATTTTCTGGGTGCTAATCTGCTAAATAGTATATTTGCGGACTGCACTTCATATCTGAGAGTCAAACAGAAGCATCTAACAGTGCAGTTGTAAAAATTCTAATTGTTTTGCTGCTAATCTGCTAAATAGTACATTTTGGGGCCTGCTCTTCATCTCTCCAAGTCATGCTACAAAAAAATTATACAAGTTTTAAAATATGTATGGGCCAACCAGTGGCTGTAAAAACAAAGTTTTACTGGTTACATTCATGACTACACACTCTAGTGAACAGGACCTTCATGTAGTGTGTTCTTTTTTTTTAAATCATACAGCATTCTTTCACGTGCTTTTTAGATGTCATATTGTTAATTACGAATTTTTGTTTAGCCTGATTTTTTTTAAAACAGTGAAAAAATTTTTTTATTGTAACGCTTCATATCAGGAGCATTAATAAACATTTCTATATTTATGGAACTTTGATTCGAATTTACTACATCGGTCACTTGTAACATTTTCACACCTACAACACTTGTTACACAGATCTAAGTGATAGAAAACAGATTGATATTTTCTACACTAGAAACTACCAGATAACAAGCTGCTATATTTAAACCAGTTATTAATAGCTAAGAGGTACTTAAACAATATTGTAATTCTGGGGAAATACCCTCACAAGTCAAACAGAGAAGCCAGTTTATAGGGGAAACTGTTACCTGGATACAATTCTAAAAATTTCCATATGTCCTTTGCAGACTTTACATGCTGCAAAAACACAGGTGCCAACTGCTGTGGCTTTCTGCAGTGTGCATACCGGCAAGGAGGGCAGGGTTAAGGAGTGGGTGGAAGATGCAGTTCGGGTTCATGCCAGATTTAACGATCCATTCGTAGTTTCACAGTGTCTGGGCGACGGTCGGACAACCAGGACCCAGAATGCCTGATGTTGAAGTTAGGAGTCACAGTGTGGAATGGATTAGCAGGGTCTGGTGCAGGGTAACCGCATGCCCCCTTGTGTTGAGAACCAGCGTTTGTGTGGCCACATACCAGGACCCTGATGCAGCTTCAGTAAAAAGAGTACTGGATACCAGAAGCCATCACCAGACTGATCCGCAACTTGGAACAGGATGTGACATTCACTTTAGTGGCTGTGCATGCTTTTGGCATTCTCACCCTGCTGCTGCTCGCCTGTCTGTGCTGCAGCATAACTTTGATCTTCCCGATCACCGCCTCATGAGACTTTGCGAGCAGCAGCAGGCGATAGTGGAGTTTCAGCTGCAGCACGCTCGGGTCAGTGGCTCTTCACCAGACTTCCCTCCAATTGATCAGAGTTAAAGGATTTCAAGTGGACTCATTACAAATACAGGGCCTCTAAAGAGTCCAGTATTGTTATTTGTCGTCACTACCTTCCCGCGTTGGGAGTGGGTCATTTGCGCGCCTGCTGCCTTCCTTGCATGTGGTAGCCGTTTCTCAGGGATCCTATACGGAATGGAACCCTGATTCCCCGTTACCCGTGGTCACCATGGTAGGCGCAGAAACTGGCATCAAAAGTTGATATGGATGACATCCAAATGCAAAGTCGCCGTCACTGGGTTATGCGATTGGCCCGAGGTTCTCTAAAGTCAACAAAGTGCCTGCGCAACTATAATGTCAACACTACTCTGTGGGAACAGAGTTGTCTTTTTTATATGTCCCAATATTTTGGGGGCTACCCCAATTAAAATATATATATATATATATATATATATATATATATATATATATATAAAAACAGTGTTGGCTACCTCCTGCTCCTCCTACACCGCCACGGTCACCGCCTCCTCAACCTATGGGTCACTTAGTATAAACTATGTACACAATAGCAGAGGCTTGTGAAGGTCTTTTCTCCATACATCAGGAGTTGAGCATTTCTCCATGCATCAGGACTGCAAGAAATGCACCGCAGGCTGCAAATGTTTCTTTTTTTGTATGTCCCGATATTTTGTGGGCTACCCCAATTAAAAAAACAAAACATGAAAACAGTGTTGGCTACCTCATCCTCCTCCTCCACCGCCACGGTCACCGCCTCCTCAACCTATGGGTCACTTTGTATAAACTATGTACACATTAGCAGAGGCTTGTGAAGGCCTTTTCTCCATGCATCAGGAGTTGAGCATTTTTCCATGCATCAGGACTGCAAGAAATGCACCGCAGGCTGCAAATGTTTCTTTTTTTTATGTCCCAATATTTTGTGGGCTACCACAATTAAAAAAAAAAGCATAAAAAACAGTGTTGGCTACCTCATCCTCCACTGCTGCCTCCACCTACACTGCCATGGTCACCGCCTCCTAAACCTATGGGTCACTTAGTATAAACTATGTACACAATAGCAGAGGCTTGTGAAGGCCTTTTCTCCATGCATCAGGAGTTGAGCATTAACGAGAATGACCATACTGATTTCAAAATGTTCTTGTTAATTGTCCAAGATTTTGGTATTTGTAAACATTGTTTTTTATCAAATATATGTGCATTATATAACTTAGGATATAACAAAAAACAGCTGCTTATAACTTGTACAAAACAATTTACGTCATTTAACATGCCCATATGCTAATTTTTTTTCCCCTCCCATCCTGCTATGAAAATGGGGTATAAATATAACTTGCGTAATAAAGGAAATTGAATTGGCTATTGAACATGTCTCTGCTTTTCATTTCCAATTTCCAGAGCTCTGATAAAGAGTTGGCAAATATCCATTATCCACAGAGGGTCCTGGGCTGATTTTATCCTTAACAACCCTTTCTCAAATGGATAATTCTGGTGATCCTCCTGGCAGCCATGCTTTAGATTTTGATTTATGTTCTTCCAAAGCTAAAATCAAAGATTCCATCTAGTGCTATTTTATGGCTCAGCTGTATTTTTAATTTTTATGTTATTTTAAGTGATTTCCCTATCCACATTTGTTTGCAGGGCACTTGTCTTACTCTTACCCCCATTTTACTCCCTTTTGCAGCTCTCTAGCCCTTTCCAGGAGTTTTTTAGAGGCATTTTTGTGGCCAAAAGTTCGGGTTCCCATGGACTTCAATGAGGTTCGGGGTCAAGTTTGGGCCTGAACCCGGACATTTTTTCAAAGTTCGGCCGAACCCGCCGGACCCGAACATCCAAGTGTCCGCTCAACTCTAGTCAGCAGTTACCCTGCAAAAGAGAAAGGCACTAGCACAGGTGGTGAGAGCTCTTTGAGAAGTCAATATTGTGTACCGCTAGGGTTTCCCAAACAGATTGATGGTTCAATGTAATGGCACAGATAAATCTATCTACACCTTGGAAGATGGCGACCGCCTCCTGAAAGAATTGAAGATACCTCTTTCCCTACCAACATCAGGAGAAGCCCGAGAATGACCACCACATTCCCCATCCATTGTCTCCAAGGACTGGAATGTAGCTGCAACAGTTAAGTGACTGTATCCTCCGTGTGCTGGTTCCAAAACCACATGAATGGGTTAGAAAACCCCTTATGTCCCTCTCTGATTGAGATCTATGACCAAGTTTCCCTTTTTGTTACAGTCCTAGCGATTTTTTTATATTCTCTCTTTTTTTGCTTCTTATTTCTTTCCCCACTTTACTTTATATTATTGCTATAGTTGTCAAATTATTCATCATATTTGGGGGAACCAAACTCCATTCTATTCTAGACAAACCTCTATTGGGACAGTGGTTGTTCATAGCAGTGCTCTTGTTGTCAAGAGATATCACCCTTAGGTTTTGTGGCTGGTGGCCATTCACATTACATCACAACTTGTTTCTTCCTGCTGGATCATTCTGGTTGTTTCTCTGTCTTTTTTCCTTTTTTGATGGTATTCTATCTGTTGGAGGAAAAAACGGTTGTATTGTCCCCTCATATTTCTCCTCAGTTGGAAGTAGTTGGAAATCCATTGTTCTTTTGAGTTTTGCCCTCCCTAAAAACAACATGGGGATGGCTCCAAACTACTTCCCATTATCTATGCATCTAATCTAAGAGGATGCTGTCCTATAAAATTAGAAAATGCACTTCTTGGATTCCCCTAATTGGCACTCAGGGAGTGAGCAAGACCCAAATATTTATTTCCTATAATGTGTGTTCTTTTTGTTCTTAAACCTGTACCGTGAATACGTTTTTTTTTTTATTGTTGTAAAAAAAAAGGTAATGTTGGAGAAAAAAAGTTGAGTTCATATATTATTTTTTCATTTATGTATCTTACATTTATTTATTTTCAAAAAATCCTTACATTTGCATTATTTTTATAAAAGAAAATATAATTAATAGTATAGTGAACTATTATAGTGAATGCAGAGCGTGAGGACTTCCACCATGAGATACTGGACCAAAGGTTCATTTCAAACCAGGAAGCCCTCTAGTGGCTGTCTGTTAGACTGCCACTAGAGGCTGACTTAGTGCTGCAATTAACCAGTGAATTACCAGTGTAAGCCAAGCTAAGATAGCACAAATTATTTATATAATATTTCTACTTACACTAAAAATATATTAAACATATGATTATAGCATAAACCACGCAAGGAAGAAAGTAACAGTTTGTGAATGATACATAGTTATCCCAAACATTTAACCTGCACTTCACAATAAATTGGAGGACTTAACACCATAAAATTATTTAATTGTGGTGAAACCATCATATTACTAAACCCAAATAATTTTAAGTGCACTACATAAAGTGCATGAATAAATAACATTAAAGTGAAATAAGGTATAAATAATATTATTTTCTAATAACCCATAATTTTACAGATTAAACCTATTTAAAAGCTCTACATAAGTACTGATATTAAAACACAACTTGAACCGAGTTAACATATGATAATAAATAAAGGACTTGGATTTGTTCCATGTTGTGTTGGTGACAACCTTGGCCTTGATGTGGAATTAATAAATTGTTTGGGATTTTGTGAGTGAAGGATTTTTTTTCCAGGTGAAAGGATGGATGTACCTGTTGAATCACCTACCATGGAGTCTCTAGGGGTTGACCTATCCAAGTGCAAACCTAAGAATAAGTTTATGCTGCCTGCTACCAATGCTACTGTGGAAACATAAATTACATTTTGCCATCTGGAGTTATCAGTAATTGATTGGTCACAGTTAATTAGACACAACTTGTCCAGGGATAAGTGGAAGACCCATAGAACCATTAATTGGGAAAATTGACATCACAATATGGGCAGCTAAAAAGGGAGGGGCCACAGTTGCCTTACATTGTGATGGTTTTGATCTACCTTGCTGAGTCTTGCGGTGTGACTCCATGGTTGAAGCTGGTATTAGTCCCCACACTGAAGGATCATCGGTGACACTACAGACTGGATATGTGGGAACGCTTTGAAATTCTCAGGATGGAAGGGGTAAATGCGTCATCAATTGCCCACCAACGTTTTACTTTAATATTTTGAATATTCTCTTTTTTCAGCTTAAAACAAACCACCAGTAATCATAGAGCAGAAGATGTAAGGACTAGAAGTATCAACCATCACAACAACAATAACCATATGCATATTGGTCAATAACCATGGATCAGGATCCCGTCACTCAAAAATATCACAGCTATTCCTAGAATGTGAAAGGAGTACTGCAGAGATGGTGGCATCATCCATGCTGAGCACAAATGACACAGGCTGACATCAATACTGAAACATCTGCAGGAAAGTCTTAATGGAAGAACCCATGGCAATCGATGTGCAAATGATTGCTACTAAAAACTTGCAGAATAAGTGTAATTGGTTAACTCAAGACAAGGTGCTGCAGCAACTAAAGAAAGTTAATATAAACAAAGCTCCAGGGCCTGACGGTATCCATCCACGTGTACTTAAGGAACTAAGTGCAGAAATAAGTGAACCTCTGTTTTTAATCTTTCAAGATTCTTTTCTTTCAGGAAGTGTTCCGGAGGATTGGAGGAAGGCAGATGTGGTTCCTATATTCAAAAAGGGTTCAAAATATTTAAGAATTCCTTAAGAAGAACATGGTTATCAGCAAAAATGAGCACGGTTTTATGAAACACAGATCATGTCAAACTAACTTGATTGCGTTCTACGAAGAAGTAAGTAGAAGTATAGATCAGGGTGTTGCAGTGGATGTGATCTATTTGGATTTTGCCAAGGCATTTGATACAGTTCCACACAATAGATTAGTGTTCAAACTCAAGGAAATCGATCTAGATGAAAATGCTTGTTCTTGGGTAGAACATTGGCTTAAATACAGAGTACAAAGAGTTGTCATTAATTGTAAATTTTCAAGCTAGACCCAAGTGGTGTCTGGGACCCCTTCCATTTAACATGTTTATAAATGATCTTGAAGACAGCATTGAAAGTCATGTTTCAGTGTTTGCATATGACACAAAACTTTGTAAAATAATACAATGTGAGCAAGATATTACTTTGCTGCAGAGGGATTTAGATAGCCTGGGGGACTGGGCACTCAAATGGCAGATGAAATTTAATGTTGAAAAATGCAAAGTTATGCACTTTGGCGTAAAGAATACACAAGCAACTTATACCCTTAATGGAAGCGAATTAGGCAAAACAACACACGAAAAGGACTTGGGAATTGTTATAGGCAACAAACTATGCAACAATGTGCAATGTCAATCAGCAGTGGCTAAGGCCAGTAAGGTATTGTCATGCATTAAAAAGGGCATTCATTCTCGGGACGAGAATATCATTTTGCCTCTTTATAAATCACTGGTAAGACCACATATTGAATATGCTGTGCAATTTTGGGCACCTGTTCTAAAGTAGGATATTATGGCACTAGAAAAAGTGCAGAGGTGG